TTGAATTATAATTAAAATACTAGATTTAACAGTTCATTCCGCAAAAAGCAAAAACTAGTTGTTTCTGTGAGGTAACTAGCGTAACAATGATGTCATGATACTAAAAATAGCTGATAGAAATGTCAGCGTGTGTACCTCATCCTCGAGTGAGATTTTGGAAAAAGTAATCAAAAATACTGTAAATATACATGATAAATATATCAATTATATATTAATGTGCAGTTAGTCGAGCCGTTTTCCCTGTTAGTCGGCCGTTTTGGCGGCGGTTCAGTTTTTACGGAGAGTGCTCCACTAGAAATCCTCATTGTTTACATCCACGAATCTTGCGATTTTTTCTGGCATTCTAAGGCATATTATCCATTTTATTAGCAATTTGCATTAAAATAATGATGAGAATTTGCGATATAAACAATTTTTTCATTTGTTGTGGATGGGACCCCTAAAATAAACGTAAAAACCGTCAGAAAACGACGCGTGACGTTTCAGGGTCAGAGGTCAATCCTACCACCTAAGCAACGCGCCAGACTAAAATATATCCAGGTCAAATTCTTTTGTTTTTCTCCTTCTGGAAGTAGAGTTTTTAAAGTTTCGAGGTATGACGTCGTAGGCGATTCTAGTTCCCCGTATGAAAAACACTAGGTCCCGGATGAGATGAATAAACCAACCAATCAAAGCTTTTTATAACTAGGTTAACTATAAATAGCTTCTACAATATGTGCGGGACACTGTACATACGATAGATGAGGCTAATAAAGCAACCTGATAGGTGAATAGGGGTGGCCGCAGCTTGGGTGTCGATTTGGGTGGTTTCACCTCGCTGCGTAACCAAACGACTTGAGCTAGACTAGCCTAGTTCTAGATGCTCTACATTTCAAGCTAAGCCTAGAATCTGTATAATTTCTATTTTTAGCGCAATTTCCATTCTGGAGAATTACGTTTATTAACTCGTCTTTTCTGGGAATGAATGGATGGATGGATGTGTGTCCGCAGCTTTAAGTCGTATCTCCTCCTCAGCGAAGCAATATCGAGGACTAGTTCCAAAGCAATTATGTTAAGCAAGTTACGAGGATGAACATAGGCCATAAAAATTCCGTGTTTCTTTCATGGATTTCTCGGAAAAGCCAAAAAACCTCGAAAAAATGTAGTTTTTGGCCCATAACTCGGCAACCAGACCACTTAGCGACTTGAAACATGTACCAATCGATTCCTGCCATAATTTAGAACAATATTGCCGAAGAAAGTTTTCAAAAATATCCTTTCGTTTGGTCACAAAATTTTTTTTTAATTAATTAAAATTTGGACCGAATTAGTAGGCATTTTATGCAACCACACCACACGCGTCATCACGTTCAATGGCTGCGACGTCACGTTCGGTAGCTGGGCGTGCAATGGTTTTTAGTCATGTTACTCTATTGTAAATAAAACATGTAAAATACTGAAAAAAAATTAATAAAAAACGTTTAATAGCTAACCAATGGTTTTACTAACCCTGCTCTTGATTTACGCTACGACAGAGCTATTTTTAGATAACACAAGGAAATTGCGCTAAAATTGTCACTAGACTTTTTTTAATTACTTGTTTTTCTGTTGTTTTAAATTATTTCGATCATCTACTTCTTCTAAATCTAGTTAGTGTCTCTACATACAAGCATATCTAAGCTAATGTTACGTTATGTCTTGTCAGTGGTTGTTACGTCCCTTTGTTATGATTATTATAGTTGCGTCCCTTGAGTCGACACTGGGTCAACTTTTAATGTCGTTAATTAATTTAATTAACATGTTTAATTTGGTTTTGAAATCTATTAATTAATAATACAACCAACACGTTTAAAAGTGTAAAATATTTATTTTATTTATTATACTAGGATTAAAACGTATAAAACACGATTGTTACGCAAACCGGTTCAGGTGGCAGCAGGGAAAAAAAAGAGGGGAAAAAAATATCGCAAGTAGCACGTCACTAAAACATGAATATCTCAAATTCAATGTGTAGGAATATAAAATGATTGATACATATTAAGAGTAGAAAGGCAGAGGAATAATATAGTACGTTGGGTTTGTTTCTGTGTTAAACGGTTACAAAATAGCGCCCAATGAAAGTCGGGAATTCGCTATGTGTGACCGGTTGTGGAACTCCACTATCAGTTTCTATTTCAGTCTGTTTTTTAAGAATTCCCAGATGTACTTTTGACCTAATTCCTTTGTCTCGCAAGCGGCGCGTAAGTGAAAATAGCTCTATGAATTCTTGTCTTTTAAATCAAATAACTCTGAAATATCGCTTTCCTTGAAAACCAGCCTATGTTCCTTGAAAACTTTAAACTATTAATTTAACACACATTACAATTAACTGGTAATAATTTCTTGGGTTTATGAGATGTGTTCGTGGGGAAACGATAACCCCTCAATAATGCCATTTTATTATTATCTTGTTTGGTGAAAACGAGGCGCAGGAAAATGTGTGCCGCACAAGAATCCAATCATTTGGCTAGATTTATGACTGTTTTTTTATGTCACACCTGAAAATAGAATCTTTACGCTTCCTTCGTTGATGATCGTTTTTATTTTTTAAACATGAATTATTAGTTAGATTGCAGATTTTGTAACTTGGTATACTTACCCTTTATCAATTTTAAAAGCATAGCATGCTGATTTTAAACAAATTTAGTCATAACACACAGAAATATAAAGTTCCAGTTGCGATGTAACACACCCGGGTCACACCCCCTCAAGAAAACGCGTGTTTATTAAGCTGTTTATCTCACTTTACAACAGTAATTAAAATTAATTTTCAAATTTTTATCACTTATTGGGTAAGATTAAGCACATGTTTACTAAAAATAAAATAAAAAACAAAAGCAAATTCTGTTTTAATGAAGGTCAGGGGTCAAGTTTTTTTTTCCTTCTGTCAAGTTCAGTGGAGGGTGCCACAGACTGGCCTGACTTTGGAATTTTTTTTTCAGTAATAATGACTTTGCACAGAAAGTTAAAACATGCTAAATTAGCTTAGTTTACTAGTGTTCTAGCTATTATTGATACATTTTTAATTTAAACAATCATTCTGTAATTCTCATCAAAAAGCCTATTAAATCCTGAGAATATGTTGCGGAGATATTCTTTCAAAGCCTCAGTGGCTGTTCTCTACTTAGTTTCCACTAGCCGCCAGTAGATTTGACTGTTACATGTGAATTATCCTAATTATATGCCTAGATCTAGCTAGAGTGAAGTTCCACGCGCGGTTAAAACACCTGTTTGATGTGTTTATCGCTTTGTATATTTGTTTGGATGATTTATACGTAACTACCGATATCTGCTGTACACATGTCCATTTCTAAATATATCCAGGTCAAATTCTTTTGTTTTTCTCCTTCTGGAAGATGAGTATTTAAGTTTTGAGGTATGACGTCGTAGGCGATTCTTGTTCCCCCTAAAAAAAAACTCCCAGATTAGACGAATAAAACCAACCAATCAAAGCTTTTTATAACTAGGTTGACTATAAAAAGCTTCTACAATATGTGCGGGACACTACATACGATAGATAAAAGGTTAATGAAGCAACCTGAGAGGTGAATATGGGTGGCTGCAACTTGGGTAACGATTAGGGTGGTTTACCTACGCTACTGCATGAAAACCTTGAGTGTACATTAACCACTCACCGAAATAATGAGGTAGTACACACTTGGGTGACCGCCCATGTGTCAGGGACGTAGAGGCCCGCTCTCAGGAGCACCCCCTCCCGATTACACTACCGCATAGGCGCCGCGTAGGCCCCGTGGCTCCTTACAACTAACAGACGCCATTGTGCCAAATAACATGTTAACAATGATGCAGATTGCGTCATTCGATAAAGTGACACAAATGAACAGGATTTTTTTCCTTTAACACGTAAACAAATTATTTGACGTGTTTTAAACATCAGTGTGACTGATGCAATACGTTAGCGTTACTAATGGTGTATTATTAGAAGCTCTATCTCAATTTCTGATTGAATTGTCTAAAAGTGACTAAACTGTTTGGATTTTTTTACGGGCAAAAAGATACATCCCAGTTAATAATCTAACCTTTATAATTTTTTTGATTATTAAAATAAAACATCACATGGCCCTCAGCTCAGCGGCCCATGTGAACCTTTGGGTGGCAGAAACTGAAATTTTTGTTTGCAGCCAAATCGCACCCTACCAGGGCGCCCGGGGACACGTCTGATTCAATTTAGTGAGCGTTAGTAATGCCCCATCCTGTCCACTGTCTATCACACTGTTTAGATAGATCGTAGTCACCATAGCGCTCACCAGAACGACCAGGACGCCAAATCGCATCCTGCGGGGGGGGGGGGGGGGGGGGGGCACATGCAAAATTAAATCCCCCACACCCCCCACCTCAGAAACCTTATCGAGAGTATTCTTCAAATCTCTATAGTTTTATGACACTTGGATAAACTGCGTCGAACCACAATCGTCTTTTATCTTTATAAAGAGTATATAGAGAAAAATCGCACCATCATTTGGAGTCACCCTTTTGGAAATAAAAAATGATTGTTTACAGAACCCTTCCCTGGAGTGTTCTCATCAACTCCCTAAACTTTGATGCCGATTGCATGAACGGTGTAAAATCGCAATCAACTTTTATTTTTATATACGGTATAAAGAGAAAAAACAAATCGCGTCATGCCGGGCGCCACCCCTGCGAATTTGATTTTTTTTTTTTTTTTTCGCAGAACCCTCCCCATAAATATTCTTAGCAACATTATGTCCTGAAATTTTGGTTTATCTCCTGAAGGACTCATATAATTCTCCTGGAATTTTAGGTTCCCGTTGGTGTATGAACCCTGATAAAACTGGTCTTACCTAAACAAAATTGTATTAAAAATGAGAAGAAAAGCTGAAAGTTACGGGCAGTATCTATTTATGGAAAATCGATGATCTTTTACGGCAAAACATTTTTGGGGTAGACAGCCCTGCTTAAGATCTGCAATTTAATTTTTCTCATAATTTTTTCTATTGCAGATTGGCAGCTGATGACTTGCTGTTTTAAGATTGATGCTCATGATCTGGAGGACAGTTCCAGCATTGCCTGCTGTTGCCTTCTGCTAGATTCGCCATCACCAGATAACATGTTAGCTATTAATGTTGGGTGGAGTCTGTCTACTTGGGATGCTGGTATGACAATTATTTTTTAATCCTACTGCTGCATGGATGTTAAGTTTTTAAATCATGTATGTAGTTTTAATTAAAGGTGATTTTTTTTTTTATTTATTTTTTTTTTTTTTTTTCTTCTCATTCTTCTAGCTGCTGACTACCCATGATGTCTGCGTAGATGACCATTTACAAGCTATGCCTGTTACTAAGAGCATTTACAGCTGGGTCCTATCTGCCTTCAATGAATATTTTGCTGACAACATGGCTTTAGGTATTACTTTACTTTAGTTTACAAATGTGGCTGTCAGAGATCTTATTTTCTGCAAGATTTTTTTCTTGCCTTATTTGATCTGTGTTCATTTGGATTGATGCATGTTTAAAATAGTTTATCATAAAAAACTGGTAGATTTAATTACTCTAGTTAGAGATATTCAGGAATACATTTTAGGTGAGCCTATGTTATACAAGCAATATGCCCCCTATAAAATTTCCAGGTATTACTAGACACCTCATTAAATTTTTTTAAACTAGCCTCATTGCTTCTGTAATTCTCGGTAAACTATACTGAAATTTTTATCTGGTTTTCTTTTTTTCTCTTTGTAAATACTTTACATACTGACCATCCTAACCATTTATTTTCCCAATTTTCTTATAGGTTTATCAAATGCGTGACAAGCCAGTTGCTGTCAATATTTTTTCCAAACTTTGCATGGATTACACCTCAAGTGGTTGGTGCTATTGGATTTCTAATAGGAACATTCAGTGTTGTGTGGATCTGAGATTAACCGCTGTTTGTTGAGGGCTCATTTTCCAGCAATTGAGAAAGAAATATGTAAGGTTAACTATACCCATTCGGAAAGCTTATCCTGATAAGTGCTTAAAAATTATAAGTAACTGGAATGGTTGTGGTTTTGGTAGATTTAAATTTTCCAATGCAGCTTATATCTGTTACAATATATGACAGCCGTTTTTTGTTAAAATGTGTCCTTAGCTTAAACATAATGATTGTCCCAAGGAGCATTAAAGCAATAATGTACTTTATACTTAACACACACACACACACACACTCATTTTTTACTCTTTGCTGCCAAATCTCAATATCTAATTTAGAGCATAACATCTTATTTTTATGAATTATAAGCATTATAATCCTAACTCTTATAACAATTGTTGTGCATGCCCTCTGTCTGCTGTTACTCCTTCAGTCAGTTACTGGGTTTTCATAAGGCCATAGAAATTGTGTGAAAGTGGCCCTATCTGTAATGTGGCCGAGCTACATTCCTTTTTTAAATCGTCCTTTAAGGCGATACATACACCGCCAGGGTCAATTTTTGAAATTTCTAAATATCTTAAAATTTGATTTGTATAGTAACAACAGACCAACAAGTCTTTAAAAAAATGCACCATTGAAAAAAAAAATTTTTTTACTTTTATTGAAGAAAATATGTTAATTTTGATACAAATATTAAAATTCACAAAAAAAACTACAAAAGCAAAAGGTCTTGATAAATAGTAATATAACTTTACAAAAACATTTAACAGTATGTTTATTAAATAATTACAGCTGTTGGTGGCCATACTATGATTAGGGAAAAAATAGTTGACCAAAATATAAATTCACCCCCTAATTTTGGCCAATTTCAGTGTTTTTGACAAGAAATTCCTTTGTAAAAATGTAAAATGAAAAGACATTCAAATTTAAACATGTATTTCTGTAGACAAATGCACTACAAATAAGTATGCCAAATTTCAAGACTCCAGCTACAAAACTTAATATTGTACGGCCTGGAGCCTTCGTAAGAAAATGGAAAAACGACAAACTGAGAAAAATGCAAAAAAAACAAACTAAAACATTGTTTAAAAAATTACATTGCATAAAATCAGCAAACAGTAATGAAATATCTGTACATAAATAACAGATGAAATAAAATATGCTGCTCACACAGTATAATTTTTGATATCAATAAAAAAAAATGAATTCCATGACCCTACCCCCCCCCCCCCCCCCCCCCCCCCCCCCCCCCCCCCCCCCCCATAAAAAATGTGAGGCAAAAAAAAATTTTTTACTCTAAAAGTCACTAGAACCCCCTGCTAAGTATTGTGGACCACCTTCTATCTGAGCTAACCTATCAGATTCCCTCCTTTCAGCATCCCTAATAATCTCCCTCCTCCTTTTAACACCCTGTCTAACAGCACTCTCTGCTTTTGCAACCCTAATGTTGTCACGTCGTTGTCCCAGTTTTTCAGTCTCCCTCCCTATAGATAACCCTAACACTATCGAAAATTCCCTTGAAGCCCTGGATCCCATATTGAATTCCCCAACCCCCACCGTAACAGCTGCCTCTAGACGTGGTCTCTGAACAAATATGTGCTTAGGGCACCCTGACCAAATCAATGAATGTATGCTCTCATTCACATTTTGGGTATTCCCCTGCAGGCAACGTTGCATAAGTTCTCAGATGTAAGTTTCTCATATACCTCTTTCACATAACCTGCCACAACAGGATTCAGATAGGCTGCTGCTGTATGTTGAGCAACAGCAACACCCTTAGCCAGAGCTTTTTTGAAAAAGCACCAGGACCCTACACCATCAGGACAATCTTCATGATGTGGTTCATCATCTGTGGAGGTGCAGTGCTGAAAACCTGCCCAGATAGCTTTCTGCATGTCTGGCACGTTACTGCTGGATCTGACAGCCTTTGTATAGTACTTTTGGAGCTTCTTTATTTTGTCCTGGGTTAGGCGACCCAAGCCTCGACCACCAAGGGTTATTTTTTGCTTTTTTTAGTGTCAACTAAGGTGCGCAGAGCAGTGCCTAAACGTTTTGCAACATGGTTGATGCATTCCTGCTTCTGCACCAATAAGCCAGGATACGGGTCTGCCTTGTGGATGGCCTTGATCATGTTGGTGTCGCCGTCTGAAACCACTGAACGGTAGCGGAGTCCATGGCTTGCTACAGAACGATTCCACATCGTAACTGCCGCCTGCTGTTCCATACTGCCGGAGGTTCCTTGGTGGTTATTGTCGCACATAGGCTGGTGGCTCTCAAACCAATGGGCAAGCTTTGTCTGGTCACCAGCCAGCCTTTTCTGCATTATCGCACACCTCTGGCAGTCACCTCTTACGTCACATCCTTATTTATTCACGCATTCATAATCTTTTATTAACACCACTACACACCTACTCTCAAACCATCCACAACTTTATTAACTTCGTTTAACCACACACCTACTCTCAAACTCATTCCATACAATTAAGTCCATTCACAACACTGCTGAGAAGCCACGATGGGTCCTTCTATTATTTGAACATGATGTTGTCTTCATGTCCCTTCACCTTATGGGCCAAGAACCACACAAATGCCAATTCTACATGGTTCACATCAGAAACTGTTCTGTATCTATGCTTGTCCAATGGCAGGCTCAGCTCTATCACTGCCAATTTTCCCCCTTATTTTGTTAATAGAATGAAAAACCAGATTTATGAAATAAACTCACTAAACTCATCTTTCAAATTCATCCAATGGCTCTTACTCAATTAGCAGTCAGACACCCTGTGGGCATGTTGATAGTGCTATCAGCAACAGCACCCCACATGTATTTCCTGTATTTTTGGTTGATTCTGAGACAGGCTCTTGTGGGATGAGGATTAAGTGCCTTCTGCAGCAAAGGACCACTTCGTCACAACCTTTGGGCCTGGCTGCTCTGTCTCTACTTAAACTATTTTCTGTACCTTTTTCTACCCTTGGAGTTGAAATACCACTTTCTGTTAATATTGCTATTTCAGTAACAACGCCTGCTTCCATTCCCTCTACACTTTTCTGTAAGGATGGAGCAGCACCACTCCTTGCATGTGGCCTCTACAATTCTGCTTGTGTCAGGCCACTGAGCAGCTGTAGAGTCTCTCCACCTACAAAGCTCCTGAAAATATTTTCTGAATAAATTTAGTCACACATACCACTAACACTTGCCGAGTGTAAAACATTAAATCTGTTTTGAATTAGACACCTTGTTATAGGCTCGTACTATTTTAATCTCATTTTGTCTGAGACATTGGTATTGGATTGTTAACATGCACTTCAGTAGGCACCTTGTTACAGCCTTAGTTGGGGTCAGCATCTCCAGCTGTTTGACCTTTGTCCTCTTCATCAATGATCAACTTTGAAACTTTTACCTGCTGGTAAAAAAAAAAGACCTGTTATAACTGCCAACCAAGTATCCTGCAGTGAGGGTTTACACTACCTTTTTTTGTAACTATTCGAAGTTCATTAGAATTCTAACCAATGATAAAGTTGATGTAATTACATTGCATTGTAACCCAACTGTATTGTAAATAACTTGTACTTTATAAGATCAGAATTCTATTGATCATTCACAATTGTAAGCAAAATGATTGCAAAGACAGGAATTTGTCACCGTTATAAAAAATGACATTACTTCTTTAAAATAAACTACATTGGTTAATTAAAACCAAAATTAAAATGATCAGCAAAGCTGATGCTAAAGACAGGTATTGGTTATATCATAATAAAAAAATAACGGTTCTTCTTAGAAATAAACTACATTGGTTAATTAAGACCAAAATAAAATTGATCAGCTAAGCTGATTACAAGTATTCTAATAAATAAAAAGAAATACATTCAGTTATTTAAAATTTTCTTTTTTGGCCTCAACAAATTTTCATAAGTTACTTGAAACAGGGCAGTAACTGAAGCCTTTGTACCCCTTGTGGCCTGTTTCAATCAACTTAGGCTGGCTACACTTTGAGCAAGTGTTGAATTTTTTCTGCCTCACATTCACTCTGCCCACCTCATCTGCTTTACACTTCTTATCGGAGAGGCGGGCAGAGGCCACTTGCTCAACATCAGCCTGAAAGATCTACTGAGGAACATCCATGAAGGTGGCTGCTGGTTTGCTGGTTTTTCCTTCCTGCGTCGCTTTGTAACTGCAGTGCCGCTGTGATCTTTCACCTCCCCCACAGCGTCGAAATAGGGTCCTGGTGCCTCTAGTCTTGTGGGCTGGGCAGGAGGTAGAAGTGGTTCTTCTGCAGTCATGGGAGGAGCAGGAAGGTCCATACCTTGAACCAGCGTGGCCTTCTCCATCCTTTTTTGTTTCTTGCTGTACCTGTACCTTTTAATTACTGTTTCTAAAAAAAAGATGTAAATGTGGTTTTTTTTTATGATAAAAAAATGTTAAAATTTTTTTACTGAAACCTACCATTGTAGGAGTGTCCTCTGATTAATGTTGAACAACTGCAGTGAGGTCTCCAGCCTCATTCTGGCTCTGTTGTAGACCAGTTGCTGGTTCCTGCTGTAGTCGCTTAACACTCTGGACCACCTCTACACAACCCTCTTGTGTGAGCGCTTGCCATAAGGGTGGAGTAGCACAAACTCGTCGCAGATGGCCTCCACAATCCTGCTGTTGTCCGGCCACTGAGCTGCTGTAGAGTCTCCACCCTAACAGCTCCTTGAAAACAATTAATTTTTTAATTACAAGCACCTAAATTGAAAAGAATGTATCTAACATACCGCTTCACACTAGTGAGTCCAGGAACCACACCACTACTGACTGTGCCGAAGCATCCACCCTTTGTTTTTGTCTCATACCTAGGGGCGTATTTCAACCTGCGTTGATCTGCATCAGGGAGGGCCTTGAACATAGGTATCAAGGTGTTCACCTGTGTCTCAGTAAGACACCTCTCCTGACGCAGTCCCACTAGGTATGAGGCAAGTTCCTTCACAAGATGAAAACCCTCTTGACCGTCTGGCCCAAGTGCCAACGTATCAAGAGGTATCTGGGGGAAGAAAATATACATTAAATAACTTGGAAACACTGGTACAACACTTAGTATACAAATAGCCGCTGAAATTTTATCTGGTAGGATCAACTCTTACCTCCTTCTTGTCTTCTGGCTGGGGAACTGCTAGATCTTCAGGTGCTATGTCAGAGGCAATCACTGGGGGCTCTGAAATGGAGATTGTCGGATCGATGGCTTCCATTTCTGCTGGATCCTCTTCCTCCTCAGTTGTGGACAGTGTCTCCAGCAGTTTCTCTCCTTCATCCTCCACATCAGTGATCATCTCCTCAAAACGTTTGCCTGTCTGGTCAAAGAGGTACTCTATGCCCATCTTCTCCCCTGAAACAAGAAAACATGGATGTTAATGGGGTAAAAGGAGCTGACACTGCTTAATTGTATTTTTAGATTTGAACGCGGTACATACCAGTGTACTCTCTTGGAGCTTGTAACTGGGGATCAAGGTCTGTGTTGAATACTCTTTGACCAAAGGCTCTGTAGGTGGACCGCAACTGAAGATCATAGCAGGTGTAACCATCTGCTTCTTCCCAGTCCTCATTCCAGCGCACAATGCCCTCCAGCATGTATGCTTGAAAATGCATGGCACTGGCAGAAGTCCCTTACAAAAAAATATTAAGATCATGGGTAACATTAAGTGGAGAATTAATGGGTGAAAGCAAGTTATTTATAAAATAAAGAACTGACTTGCCGGGAATAAACCGATTTAAATGGAGATGAAAATTCTCCAGGGCAGTGGTCCTTCGAGCACACTTTTAAGGGGCAGCTCCACACCTCCCTTTTTCAGTGTGCCCACCTTTATGTACAGGGGTGCACCAGGTGGGTCTTGAATACACTTGATGTGTGCTTGTTGAACAGTCCATACCTCAATGAGGCGTTGGGCTTCAAACAGTGGCACACCAAGTGTATCACAACCCTGTTAGCAGAACAGGGTCACCAGTTGACCAAGGAGGCGTGTTGTTTCCTCAACACACCTGGTGCACCTCCTGCAGTGGCGCGCCAGTTCCTTACGGCCCTGCTGCTGCTGAATGAAGACCTCATCAGCATGTATCATCCCCATCTGGGATAGCTACGACTTCTTGGCCTTGATGAGTCGAGCCATGTCTTCTTTGTCCCAAATGAAGATGCAGGTGGACAGCTAGGCCATAAAGACGCTGTACAGCTGGTGAGACTCTGTAGTGGCACAAGAGGCAATATGGCCCATGAAATGCCAGATGTCCAGCCTGGAGAGCATGTCTGGCCAACCAGAGAACAGGTCAGAGGTACTTCTGCCGTATGCTGAACAGCAGTCCATGTACAGCAAAACAGGACTGTCAACGTTGACATCTTTATACCACTTAACAAGTCCATGTGCCATCTTGTCCACTCCGTGTCCTTCTGCAGCTGTCAGCACACTGGACAGGACCTGCCCATGTTCATTTCCAATATTGGTGACCCAAGGAGTGGTTCCACTGGTAGAACCAGCCAGCTTCTTCGTCACCTTCTTGGTCGAGTCCATTTTTAAAATGGTCCCAAAGGTCGCTTCTTCACCACCTTCTTGGTCGAGTCCATTTTTAAAATGGTCCCAAAGGTCGCTTCTTCGACATCGTTTTGGCTTTCAGGTGGTCTAGCCTATAACAAACCTCCCCAGCTTACACAGACCTGAACCATTGTGGCCCAGGGAAGAGCTGCTGTGGTGGTGGTGTAGGGAAATCTTCTTGACCATTAGCCTTTGGAACTTGCTGCACAGACATGTACCTGTGGAATAAAAATAGGTGAAGCAACAGGAAAATACAATAGATGTGTACATAAAGCATTCATGTTGTAGACAAGCCTTGTAACAAAGATTGCCTGATGCTGTTTCTCGGGTATGCTTCCATGTGCAACTCCTTCAACTTCCTGGGTAGCTCTGTTGCCCAAGGGTCTCTCCTTCATCATGGTAACCACCCTCCTGTCTGCTGCGAACTTGTAGCTCAGGACTGCAGGGAACTGCAGCCTGATGTACTTCCTGTGACTACAGCCACTCTAAGTACTCAGCACCCATATAATAATAGTTATTAATGACTCGACGAACCTGTTTGTGCAGACCTCATGCTGTCGACTATTACATGCTAGTGCCAAGCATTTGAATGGGTATTGCCACATTCTGTAAGGCATCCACAGGAAGAAACGGTGAGCGAAAAACGCATCAGGCCCAGAGGGTGGTTGGTTGGTTCCAATGTGGGTTGGGGAGGGAACCACCATAGTTGGAGGTTGTCTTTCAACTGACCCCTGGGACCAAACAGAGCTTTGGAGATCCATCTGTAATCCTTTGAGGGCAGTGTCTTCCTCCATCCTTCCTTGATGCTAACCTAAGAGAAGATAGTAACTTTATTAGGAGATAAGTATTAATTATAGTTGAACAAAAGGTTAACTTAAATACAGCAATTAAAATACAAACCTCTTGGCCATCAGCAAGCACTGCACTTGTTGGGCACCACCAGTACCAGAAAGTGTTACTGCAAATTAAAAAACAGGAACATTAATAATTTTAATATTCACCAGACATGTAAGATATACAAGTTGCTTTTATAATTGTCTGTTAAAGAAAATGTTTTAATAGATTTAAATTAACTAGCATGTTCAGGTGTCACAGAGCTGGTATTATATAAATAAATGGACTTACCTAATACCTTGGGTGAGCTACAGCTGGTAGTGTAGTTTTCTCTTCTTCCTTAACATTCTTCAGGTAATGGACTACCCCTGTCATCTTTGTTCCTTCCTTTTCTGCTTGGTGAGCAGATATTTCACATAGCTCTGGTGCTTTGGCAGCTCAGATGACCCTAGCTCAAGTCTGAACTGACCAAAGTCCACCAGCATATGAAACTCCTGCCCTGTCTCCTCCACTTTTTAATCAGCTGCCTCGCTTAGCTACTTTTGCCTTACCTCCTCTTGGATGAGGGGGGAAGCTAAGCGTGTAGTCCACAAACTTGTGTGTATTTATGGCTAAGGCACAGGTAGAGTTGGATTTGGTTTCATGTCGGGTGACACTGTACACTAGTGTAACAACCCACCCACAAACATTTTCAAGGAGCCATTGAAAAGTTTGACCATTGAATCTGCCAAATTCAATGGTTGTCTGGCTAAGGACATGGGCGGGGTTGTTAATGTCACCCTTCAATGTTGCAACCCTACCCTGTGCCTCTTCCTCCACCACAGCAGGGTTTCTGGCCTTGCCGTCCTTGGACGTCAAAGCAAGAGCCTCGACACAGTCGGACAGCTAAGGGCTGTTTTTGTCCTATTTGGGGAGAGAGGGCTTGAATGGTGCCATAATAAAACTACAACTGTGGTAAAAAAAAAAGGGACACAACAAAATAATTTATAATTAGGATGGTAGAGTTACCTCGCTTTGTTTCAAAGCATTTATGGTAACGATATCACCTATATCATTTTTAATTGAATTACTTTCGATAATAGCATTAATGTAGACATTTAAAATAATCAACTGACCTGTTTGTGATAGATAAGATGCAGAAAAAACCAAATGACGATGTCAAATAACTTTGGTCTGTTAAGAACAGTAAAATAAAAAGTAGAAAATAATTGTTCCCAGCGCATAATCGAATTGAAAAAACAACCCAAACCCCCCCCCCCCCCATAAGTCCACACAATGATAACCAAGGTTACATCTTAATACCTTAAAAAAAACAAATAAACGGCGCCATCCCGCCAACTACACTCGCGATAAATCAGTGCATGCACACGCATCATACTGGTTAAGTCTTGATTGAATAACAACGCTTACAATTTTAAGATGTTAATAAACTTGAATGTAGAAAAACAAAGTTCTGCCACAGAGCACAAGTCTGGCATTCAGCTAACTAAATTAATTCACGTGGCCCCAACTTCACCCTTAGGTAACCCAACCCAGCCTAACCCCAGCAATCCAGCGAGGGAGGCTGAGTGTCTAACCTTACATGCATAAATTAAATCGAACTCTTTACGACTGAGACAACTACAAGCTAACTATACAGATTTGTATCGCGTGGGGGGATGAGCAGTCAAACACACTCAGGACTATTCCTATTACAGCTGTCCTATTCTAAACACAGCTAATGCACATCTTACGCGGTTGCTTTCAATAAATTATTTATTTAATTAGGCTCAGGCCTAGCTAAGCACAATTGATACCCTAATGTCGACATAATACATTCATGTACTAATATATAATAAAACAATTATCAAATTGAAAAAGTCATTACTTACCTACTGAGAGAACTGAGCCGGAACGAATAGCCGCCGCAACAACGAAGAAAGCGTGCTGCCAGGTGTGTGTACGTTGCGCAATCAAGCGTTGCAATCAAGCGGTGTCTCAAGAGGCCGAATACAATGCCCTACGGCTATTTATACTAATGTGCGGACCATAAATGCATCAGGCACAGAGGGTGGTTGGCCCCCATTGCGGGTTGGGGTGGGAACCGCCATGGAGGTTGTCTTTCAACTGGGACCAAAGCTTTGGGGATACATCTGTATCCTCAGAGGGCAGTCTCCTTCTTTGATGGTAACCTAAGAGAATGTTACATTAATAGGAGATAAATATTTATTTAGTTGAACAAAAGGTTAACTTAAATACAACAATTAAAATACAGCTTGGGTGAGCTACAGCTGGTAGTGTAGTTTTCTCTTCCTCAACATATCTTAGGTACTTGACTACCCCTGCTATCTTTTTCCCTTCCTTTGGCTGCTTGGTGAGCAGATATTTGACATAGCTCTGGTGCTTTGGCAGCTCAGATGACCCTAGCTCAAGCCAGGTCATTGATCTGAACTGATCAAAGTCCACCAGCCTATGGAACTACTGCCCTGTCTCCTCCACTTTTTAATCAGCTGCCTCGCTTAGCTATTTTTGCCTCACCTCCTCTTGAAGCTAAGCGTGTAGTCCACAAACTTGTGTGTATTTATGGCTAAGGCACAGGTAGAGTTGGATTTGGTTTCATGTCGGGTGACACTGTACACCCACAAACATTTTCAAGGAGCCATTGAAAAGTTTGACCATTGAATCTGCCAAATTCAATGGTTGTCTGGCTAAGGACATGGGTGGGGTTGTAAATGTCAGTGTGCAATGTGAGTGCGAACGTCTTACCACACGCAGCTTTGGCATTCTTCCATTAATACTAGACTTGTTAATTTTTCTAACAGTCGCTCTATCTCTAACAGATTCTACGTGACTTTGTTCCTATTGTTTCTTAAAGTCCCGAAACTTTCTGTTACGCTTCAGGCATCAATTCATATGCTTTTAAGATCAAATATTTCATCAACTGATAGTCCCTCTGTTTTCCCCCAGTTAGTGCCGGTTGTATCAGCATTGTTCTGGTAAGTTATAATTGTACGCTGTCACTTCAAATTGCATAAAATATTTAACATTTTTTCTTCGGACTTGGGGATTATTTGGAATACTTAACTGGTTCGAAGTTCTGATTGTTTTCCCTTCGTGAATTGCCTTCCATGTCAAGCCTGGAAACTATTTCCTTTTTGGCCTCGATTTGATCTTTTTTACTTTCAACTACATCATTCAGTTCCAAGTCTTTCTCTATCTTCATTCTTTATAGTCCCCTCTCTGCATGAATTTATATTTGTTTCA